TATATATATGTACACATACACATACACACTCACACACACACATATATATATATATATATATATAATATATGTATACAGACACGCAGACACTCAGACATATATATATATATATATATATAATATATTCAATATATAATATATTCAATATGTTGATATTCAGTTCACTTCGGATCATTTCAGATATGCATTTCTGCTCTCGAATGATGCATTAGAGCAGTTGATCAGCAAATACCCAACAACACATGAACTATTTTATATCCGTATCTTCAACTGTGACATGGTACCTTATTCCAAAGACAATTCATTCACTCGCATGCTGTACTTACTGCAGAAACTCCGGAAATTGAGATGCAAATGCAAAGGATGTACTGCTGTCTCCTCTAACACCATCCACCTTCTGGTAAAAGCGAAGGTAGAACCACGCCACAACCATCCCTGAGCACACAAGAAAAAGGGAGAACAGAGCCCTACCCAACAGCACCTGCAACCCCACTGTCAGTGCCAATAGGAGAGGTGTGTGCTGCGGATAATGGATATACAAAATATAAATTCATATTAGTTGCAGCATCCATGGTTGTGCACGTGAACATCCGATCGCCACCATCACTACGGGTGATACCGAACATCACCGATTGGTGTGATTTATCGACAATCGAGCGAAGGTGAGCAGTACATGCAGGCTGTCGCCATAGCGCGTTCTGCGTGGGTTGGATGATGGTGTGCTGGGTCTCGTCAAGAGATGTACATCCCTCTATAAAAACGGGACGATGGACGAAAACAAAACAGTAACAGCTATAAATCCAAGTGCAAATAAAGGTACCATCTACGATGGATAGTACCATCTACTACAAGAGTACCTACATTATGTCATCTATGAGTCGCTATAGCATGATAAAGTCATGCCTGAGTCAGACTGCATCATGACAAGATAAAAGAATGGACGTATCCGTATGATTTGGCATTCTGGGCGCGAATAGATCTTACCAGAGCATATATACTTAAGCATATTAGAGCATATACACTTAAGCATACGCATACACAAACATACACATGCTCGCGCACGCATTATTACTGACACGCAGACACGTACGAGTATATACATACATACATACATACATACATACATACATACATACATACACACACACACACACATATAGATGTATATATATATAAATATATATATATCCCAGAGCAAGTGCTATTGAGAGAAGCACTTTCGACGGTAAAGTACGTATACTAGGCCGTTAGTACCATGTACGTGGTATAAACCAACAATGAATACCCAAACACACCTACCCTGTATGCTAGTTTAATGCATACTTTATGTAATTGGATATGCTATTAGAAGCCAAAAGCTTGCTACATTATTTTGACAACACATACCCGAAACCGAATCGGTAGTTTAACAGTGAGAATCTGCAGCCGAGCTTCGGGGTTGAGTTTCCACATCAACACTGTGGTGGCGCTCACAGCAGCGCCTAATCCGCCATAGGGACGGAATAGCACTGTTTCGTCATATGTGAGAGCGTAGTGCCACACAATGCACACGAGTGCTATTACATTGGCGGCTGTTGTGGTAATAAAGAAGACCTGGTGCGAGAGAGAGAGAGACAGGTGTTGAGTCTATTGAGATATATGTGCGTAACCGCACACAAGATGGACCTGTGAGCAAACTTATGATAAAATAAGAACGCTATAGTTACATAAAGCTAAGCAAAAATATATGCATCGTGTGACAATGCACTAAGACTATATAATTGTGATACATAGGTGTGATCATGCATTCCCAATAAGGTCTCACTTTGGTAGCGGAACAGGACAACCTTCACAGGCCCATAAACATGATATCGAGATGCTCTCATTAATGTCTATATGATAATAGTCCATCTATATATAGGTATCCATATATACATCTCCACACACACACACACACACATTTATATATATATATATATATATATATGTATATGTATACATATATATA